GAATGAGATTATGCTTTTTCTTTTCAGAGTGAGTGCGTAACTGTGAGTGAATGCACAGTGCTGAAAGTTTGGCTCTGTCCTGTATCTTCTCTGAGTCATCATCCTGCATGTTTAGAAAGCTAATCTCTTTCTGCTCCTCATTAATCATACTACTACTTTATAAAAGGTGACGAAAACTGAGGTCAGAGAACTGAAAATGTAGTTATTAATGTGCATGTGTTATGTGTCAAATTACTTACTTACTTACTCTGTATTATTATAATAATAAATTTGGCCTTAAATATTATCATGACAGGCATGTCCACTCAGCTCATTTATTTGGTTTTCTTGCATGGCAAATTCTAAAAGTGCTGATGAACTGAAACCGATTAACTTACTGTTAATATTTTAGTTCCTCACGTGAAAACGAAAATGCGTGCCGCTCCTGTGTGGTCCCATAAGGTCTTTTCAAAGTAAAAGTCATCTAGAGCGTCACACATGCATCCGAGTCTTGTTTTTAATCACATAAATAAATAAAATACCTGGTTGACCTCGTAGCTGTGATACAAAGCTTGTATAATGACGTGCTTATACAGTTATGATCACAAACAGTGATGGAAAGGAATGAATTACAAATTCTGGCAGTGGGCTGGGACATGAACTGAGTGAGGTGTCGTCGTGTATAGACGATCTTCGCAGCAGTAGTTTCGCGTTTAGGGGTTCAGGTCAGACCCCTTCCTCTAAAACGCGTTGGCTCTATGAACAGATTCTGTCCATTTGTGTATCCGGTAAGTTTGATTATTTAAACATATAAACTGCCGTTGTTCTTGTCAGCATCAGCTATCTGACTGCGTGTCTGTCTGCGATGTTGGCTTCAAACCGAAAATAAAACAGACCACTGAGTGCGATGTCAGTGAGGTTATTTTTTAAGCTACGGTTTTGTGTTTTTAGCCTTTAAGTGACACTGTAACATTAGTTTGTTTTAGCGTCCTTTTTCTCTATTAATAAAGTTCACCAGCACCCAGAGCCACAGCCGCTGAACAATGATTTTTTTTTAACTAATAATATTTTATCAGAAACATTTTCCTGTAAGTAACGTCTTACCAGTATAAGGCCTGAAGTGTAATCCACCTACAGCTTCCCCCAGAGACATACCTGCTGATTGATAGGGTGACTTA